CATTTGGCAAAGGTTCAGGATTGTTATAATTATTTCAGTAGTAACAAAATTGAATGTTAAATTATTTATTTTAATAAAGTAAAATTATTAAGGTATAGGCTTACTCAGACCAAAGGTCAGTTGCAAGTCTGAAATGTTGTTTGACATTCAACCAATTCATAGAATGATCCGTAAATAATTATGCAATATAAATAAAATGTGCAGCAAAAGCACTAACTCTAGATTTTTAAGGGTTATAGTTGCCACAACAAGAAAAATATATTAAACATTGAAAGTAATACTTAAAAATAATATTATAGTTAATGTTTTCTGAGGCTAATTCCTTCTACTGCTCTTCTAAAATGCCCCTTTATCTGTATGGCTTGCAGTCAGAGGGCATTCCCACACAAATACAAAGAGCTACAGACACAACCTCACCTCCCAGGTGCTTCTGTCACAGCGCAGTCGCTAATTACTGTCTCCTCCCTCAAATATACCTGTCCTGCTGTGAAAGTAAAGGGGAATCTGGCTGAAAAAGCCAGAAGAGAAGGAGACCCTGCCTGTTAGGAAGCATTCAGGTGTCTCTGGCCATTATTACCATCCATAGACACTGTCATTGCAGTGTCTGGAAAAGCAGGTGGCTCCAACTCTGAGAAAGAAGCAAAAATAATTCCCTTTACAAAACCACACTGTATTTGTATATACGAACATTTTATAAGGGTCATTTTGAACAGATTTGAATCATATCTTTGAATATCCGACATAAGGCTATAAGTCCTATTGGATCCCACATGTATATTTTAACATATATGAGGCATTCCAGTAGTATTTTGTAATGTGCTGACACCAGAAATTTGATGTGTGTGTCATTCAGAATATGGCATTAGTCTTATTGGAAAATTATTTTGACTCCATATTCTATACTATTGTCAATCCAGAAAAAAGATATGACATCTTACGACGCTGTGATCTGAGATCCAACATGTATTTCATCGTATATGTCTCATAGTTTGAAATATCAAGACAGAACCATCTCTGGATTCTGAGGAATTTTGCACAGTGATGTCTACAGCGAGCAATGTGTGATGAAATGGCTCTCAGCTGTGGTGAACAGTGGCTCTGTGAATCTAATAAATAGGCCTGCTTTCCTGCCTAATCACATTCCATTTTGGTTTGGGCGGCTCTGTGTTGACAGAAAAAAATAATTACTGTTCCCAAGAAAAGATACTTTGCAGTGTTTAAAAAATGAAAAAATGTTCCATAAACAAACACATGTCTGCACCTGTTTACCACAAAACAGGTGATTTGGGTAAAGCAGTGAGTTTCTCTTCAGCAATCATCACCTGATTATATATCAGCTAAAGCAAATTACTGAGCTAAACAAGAGTGCAGATAGTACGGAACACCTCTTCTTAAAGGGGAAGTCCACCAATTTTTCAAATTTTCTGTGTAATCAGTCCTTGAAATGTAAACAGACACATTAAGAGTGGTTTGATGTAAAATAGTTCATCATAGAGAAACTTACGAACTCTGATTTCTTTACAGTGGTGGTGATAGGAACCGGGGGTCATGATGTCAATAACAAGAATATGAAAAATCACCCGTGAGCCTACACATGTCTTCTGGGTTTTTATATGTAATGTTTATGATGGTTAAAGATTTGCAAAAAAAAAAGTTTTCTTTGGGGACTATTTTGCCTCACAACGCCCTGCGTGTATCCCTCCACCATGAATGGATAAAAATAAATGGATTAAAAATAAATTCTAAGCCAAAACTATCACAAAGCTAATGTAAAGCAATGTCTCAGACATCAGGCAGCATATTAACAACCATTTCACATAATAACTTTCTTTCAGGCAGCCTTTAGAGGTGGATGTCTTGTTCCTATCACCACCACCGTGAACAATTCTGACTCTGTAATGTCTATAGATATATAATGTCTATATGTGGAGCATTTCACACCAAACCACTCTGAATGGCTTTGTCTACATCTTAAACAGTTATTTATGCAGAATTTTTGAAGATTGGTGGAGTTACCCTTAAGAGTCCTGCTACTGCAAGTGAATGTTTTAATAATCAAAACTGCTGAAGTAAGAGTAAATAAGTTGTTTATTGAAAAACTACTTAAGAAATTACTTTTAATTACATTAAGTTCTTCTTTCAGAAGGTTTCACTAGGTTTATTCTACTTAAGCTAACCTATTAGTGTCAAACATTAGCTTAGATTAGCAAGATTAGCTAGCTAACACAATGTATAAGCTTGGAGTAGAATGAATAGAGTATGTAGAATATAAGCTTTAGGTTTAATAAAGAGCTGCTTATATGTTATTCTTAAACAGCAAAATAAAAAGAAAGCAGTGAAAGAACATGGTAGCTGTTTAGCTAAGATGAATTAGCAAGCTTATGTTTCCTCAGGTTGGATGTTCAATGTGAAAAGCAGAGATTTTAACTCTTAAAATGATTTTGAAAAAATGAAAGTAGTTAAATGCTTGGTTAGAAATAAACTCCTGTAAAAGAGACTTTTGTTTACTATGTTATTTTTATTTCATTATACCCAAAAATGACTGTTACAGGAAAAAAAAATGTGTTTCTGTCTATTCTGTCCATCTCTGGTCACATCCAGCACAATATCATCCTCCATGCTAAACAATCCTGACATCAGACTGTGTTAATATATTTTTTTTTGTGTTACTCTCTGCATCTGATTTGTTCTGATTGCACATTGTTTATATCTTACTGTTTCCACAATAAGCAAAGTTTTTTATTAATCTTACCTTTTATAACTACATTGGCTTCCATCACTGTTTCTATCAGTACAGTTCAGTTTTTTCCCCATTTTTTGTGGACTGAACTTGTCCCAGCATGTGGTATAAAACATTAGTGAATTTTCATAATGGTTGAAGGCACATCAACCGCATGAACTTGCTGTAGCTGTAAGCATTTGGCTGGGCTTATGGGAAATAATGCCAAAAAAGATAGAAATAAAATGAAGAAAATGACAAGAAAAGGGGAAAAAATATCCAGACCAGGGCGTACTGAAGTTACTGGTCAGTAAAGTGTTTATTGCTTTGGCCAAAAGTCTTAACCCCCTGATTACGTCAGCAGAATGTGTGTGTTTTGTCTGTAAAACACTATGCATCATTAGAGTAAACACAAATAAACATAAATACAGAAAACTGTAATAGGATTTTTTGTTATTAAAGAAGTTATTGATACATTGGTTAGAAGAATACAGATCATCAGCAGCACTTTATTAGATAAACTAAGTATTGGATGGTAACTGTGAATGCTGGAGTTTTGGTGCTGCTACATCTTTAAAAGAAGGTTGACGGGGAGAAGAGGTTACTAATGATTTGCTCTTAGGATACTTTAACCTCTTGGTATGTTCAAACAGATGTTTATCCCATTAGTTGTGTGCTGTCCTTTGCTGAGTAATTGTTTTGATGACTGGGATGACGCTGAGCAAGTTCCCACAACAGAGACATGGTTGTGAAACATTGCGTTTAAACACAAAATGGATTTGTCAAGAAAACCTTCTGCAAAGCTTCTTGTGCAACTCTCTGAGATACATTCCTTTCAAGCTAGTCATTCTATGAAAACTATAACTGTAAAGAGCTTTACAGAGGCTACTGAAACAGACACTAATATGATAAAAACTGGTATATTACAAATGCAACTATCCATCTATATGTCTGTTGAGAGAATAATGTGTTGTGTTGAAATCTTTGCTTCTATAAAGAGCTTACATGTCTTGGAAGTAAAATGTACCTAAAACTGAAGAAAAAGTAACTGACCTTAAACTGGTATTTAATATTGTACTTGCATCCCTCAGCCTTCTTGACTGACAGAATTCACAATATACGTTGTTTCTTGTATAGGTCCACAAGTGTTCTCTTACTACAATACCCAACATGCATTACGCAAATAATAACGTAAATAGTACAATCACTGGGAATCCCCCCATATATATATATATATATATATATATATATATATATATATATATATATATATATATATATATATAAATGGAGGGATTGTATTATTATGTTTGTATTATGTATGTACATATATAATCTCACTTTTGAGGCAATTGTGGTACCACTGTAGAAAGCTAGTAGGCATGTTCACAACAGAACAAGCAATGATTACATTCTTCTTTTCAGTTGAAGAAGATTTTTCTGCTAATATATAACAACTAGACAATAAAGAAGCATTTGGTGAAGCTGGGTGAGTTATTGACCATCATTCGGCACTAAACTTATTGATTCGAAGCAACTGTTTTCAAAATACCTACTGCCAGTCAATCTGTTAAATAGTATCAACTTGAAAAAACAAAAATGTGTATTATAAACATAAGTATGTACAAAATTATATGTGTTACAACACCTACAGTGGGGTACAAAAGTCTGAGACCACTAGTGAAAATGCTTTTATTTTGTCTTTAGTTTAATAGAAAACTTTTCATTACTAATTCTGGTACCAGCAGCATAATTTGAATAAAAAACAGAATCTTCAAAATTTTAAAATTAATTTCTTTATATGTAGAAAGACCTTAACATAGTTAATTTCACAAACGTGTAAATTTGGGCAGTTACCCAGAAGAAATAATGCAGAATCTTCAATACATCTTCTTCATTTTAGTTGTCATAACTTTACTTCAGTATTTTTTAAATAAAATTCTAAATTCTGTGCTGTTCATTTCCAAATTTTATCTCTTAAAATCTCAGGTTTATTACTCACTAAGGCGCATTATTCAGTCACTACAGGGACTTCAATGCAAACTACCTGAACTATTCTTAGGTTATGGAATTGTGTAATAAAAATTTGGGCCTGCTGGTGGGCCCTGGTCATTTAAGGGGTTAAATAAAAAAAAAGAAAAAAACAGCATCAATGTCTTCTCAGGTTTTTTCACCCCACTGTGTAAGCCATTTAGGGAAAAATCCCCCCTTTTATAAACTTCATAAAAATCAGTGTCATAGTACTACAGATAATGATCTAAATAACAACACTCACTCACAATGGGTTTTTTGACTCTTTTATTGTTTTTCATTGATATGACCTAGACTACCAATCATCATTTCAAAAACAAAGGTTTAGAGATTACTACATTCATCACCCCCCAGTTCTACAAGGAGAAAAATACTGTAAACATGAAAAGAAAAACCAGGATGTCCCTTCTGATAAAAACGCTAAAGAGCAACAAAGGGAAGGCTTATCTCCTGTACAGTGCTGATTGCTAGGCGGATGCCGCTCTGTAGTAATGTGGCCTCTTTGTGCAGCTTGAGAAAAGGAGCAGAAAGCTGATCTGTTTGAAAGGCTTTGGTGGTGAAACAGGAATCTGAGAGTTACTCTGGGGGCCTCCAGGAGCCAGGGGCTAATGTGGTCCCTAACAGACAAAGGGGGCTTTATATTTCGGGTTAAAATGCTCCGATTTTACTTCTTAGTCTCCTCGATCTGCTCAACCTCGCTGGACTCGTCCACAACTTTCCCATTGATCATGGTCTGAGTGACCACTTTCACGATCTTCCTGGTGCGAACGTCCGGCTCCTCTGCAGAGAGAGAGAGAGAGAGATGAAGAAAGACAGAGAGATCAAGATAGAAGGCGAGAGGGGGCAAGAGGGGGAGAGAGAGCAAAAGCAAGAGACAGAGGTGTAAGAGACAGACAGAAAGAGAAGGGAGAGAGAGAGGTAGAGGGAGAGAGGGAACAAGAGAAAGTGAGAGAGTGATAGGGAGAGAGAGACAAAGTGAGACATTTTTGATCTGTGACTTTCTCCTCAAGCCAGCATGCTCAGGGATGTGTGAGGTTTGCGTTGTCAGGGACGTGCTGCTGTGTTTTGGGAGGTTACTCTGTTAGCAGCGTTTAATCTGCCATTAGTCCACAGCCACAGCCGCTGTTTGGAGCCTAAAGCACTGGCAGTCTGACTGCTGGGAGAAATTTGTATTACCATCAGTATTCATCGTATAAAACAAATCTTACCACACTTAACACATGAGATCAGCAAATTTCACAACTCATTTCAGCCTGAAATATTTATTATGTTAACTAGATTAAACTGCTTTTGGCATTTAGTCTAGATTCTTGCCAGTATGAGTCACTGGTCACTATAGACCAAGAGAAAGCAGGGTGGGTCTAGATTGTGAGAGATTGGCCTTTTATTAAGCGCACAACTCTTATCAAAGTGAGAAGTAGTTATGTCATAAGTACATTATGTCACGAGCTCCACCATGCCAAAAGCTTCTTACATTAGCCAACAAGGATAAACAGCACATGGCAGTTTAAACCCACATGCTACTGGATCTAATTCTGGCAAGGCATTCTTGTTATTTAGCATCTATCTTTGCAAATCTGCTGATAAGTGTGCATGTATTTGCAGAGGTACTTACTCTTAGGGGGTGGAGGGACTTCCTTAATACTGCCAGAGAAAACAGAACAAGATATGAATATCAGACAAAACAGCTCTACATGTGTTTTGTACACATTGTGTTACTGATATTTAGAGAACACTTATAACTCAAATTTCAAACCTGTTGTGCCGCTATATACTCACTGGCCACTTTATTAGAAACACCTACTTGTAGTTCCCCTAGCTGGCCACTTTAGTAGACACACCTAATTTACATTTCCATCTACTATCCACTTTATTAGAAACCCCTACCTTGTACCTCCCATAATTGGCCACTTTATTAGAAACCACTACTTAAACTTTCCCTAACTGGCCACTTTATTAGAAATACCTACCTTATAATTCCACTAGCTGGCCACTTTATTAGAAACATCTACTTGTACTTCCCCTAACTGGCCACTTTAGTAGACACACCAAATTTACACTTCCATCTACTATCCACTTTATTAGAAACCTACCTTGTACTTCCTCTAACTGGCCACTTTATTGGTAACACCTACCTTGTAATTCCACTCACTGGCCACTTTATTAGAACCATCTACTTTGTAGTTCTACTCAATGTCCTGTTATTGAGCTCCACTAACTTATAGGTCACTACACAGGTGTACAATGACAGACTGTAGCCCATCTGTTGCTGTGCAGGTAGTGGCATCGTAGTGTGTGTGGCGCTGGTACAAGTGTATCAGACACAGCTATATTGTTGGGGTTTTTAAACGTGTCAGGGTCATTGAGAGGCTAGATTGAGAGTGTTCCACCACCCAAAACTATTCAGCCAAGAATACCTCTGTGGTCAAAGACAGACCATTTATCAGAGGCTAGAGGCAACAGAGCAGTCTCAACAGTCTCTAACTATACACCAGCAAGGTTGAGCTACAAGGTAGGGGTTTCAAATAAAGTGGTCAGCTAGTTTAAAAAAAAAGACAGCTCTCGGCTCCAGCACTCACGTGTCTTCTCCTTCCAGCAGCCGCCTGTAGGTGGCGATCTCCAGCTCTAGGTTCTGCTTGATGCGCAGCAGCTGTTCGTAATCAGTCTTGTTGCGCTGCATGTCCAGTCGCAGCTGGGACAGGTCCTCCTCCAGCTGGTTGAGCGTGGCCTGCAGACGTTCCATCTCCAGAGCATACTTCTGACCTGTCTCACCTAGACTACCCTCCAGAGCGGCTACCTGTAGGACGTAGAGCGAGCGAGGGTCAGCTCCTATGAGTCTAGTTGTAATTGTGCTACTACAGGATCAGTTATAATGATGCTACAACAGGACCAGTTTTAATAGTACTACTATAGGACCTGTCACAATGGTGTGCTATGATTTAGGAAAGTGCATCATATTCTTTAGTGTGTAATAGAAAATGCAGTTTTTAGTTCACAGTACTATTCAGAAAGTAGTGTAGCAAAAAGTAAGATATTTTATTGTGAAATGTAAAATGGAGTGAATTTAGTCTCAAAAATAAAGTGTAACTTAAAAATAAATAAATAAATGTAACAAATTAAATATATTTCAAATATTTGTATGGAATATTTTTTCATTTATTAGAACTATTTAACTTTTTTATTTATAAATGCATTTAAAATAAATAAATAAATAAATAAATAGAATGATTCATTATTTAATTGATTTTTATTTTTTAAGAAAGCAAAGTAGGAGTCCTTAAAAAATGCTTGAAAGAAAAAATGCTTGAGGGAGTGGATTTTCTGAGGAAGGCATAAATCTACAGACAGGACCCGTAACCTTATATGCAAAACTCTGGGTGAGATTATTAATGCAGAAGGATAATGAACGTGGGAAGTGCTGACAAGATGAAAGATATTTACACTTGTTCTGCCACTTTTAACAGCATGAGAACAAACGAAGGGTGTGTGTGCACTTCAAATGGAGGAAGCCACAATGCAAAGTGTATAAATAAACTCTCAGCATGACTGGAGGCAAAACATGAACACGCAGTGTTCCATATCAGCAGGGTGGGCGCGTTTATTTTACTGATTACTGAAGGATTAATGAAGTTACAACTGTCAATAAAACACTCTCGTTTACCACACGCAATCATCTGAGCTACTGAGCTAAATAAGTGACATGACACTGGTGCTCTATGGCTACCATCAGATAGAGAGACTTAATGTTCTTGTTGTATTAGAGGACATTTATAGCATCTTTACATGAAGAGTCACTGCTCGGTTACAGACAGGATGGAATACATATATTCAGGCTGGAGGTATGTAATGGAAAGAGGGGAATATTGGGTGAAATGGTGTACATGTAATTCTATTCCATTATCTCTACTGTTATCCTGCTTTAAAATGCCTCTTTTTACATTTTGTTTAATTTTTTTCACTTGTGGTTTATGAAATTCTGTAAAAAAGTACAAATTCAAAACTTTCAATGTTATGTTTGTAAGCAGAAGAGTAGATCTTTTCCATTTTTACCATTTTATGGCATTGAAAAAAATTGGAAAAGGTCAAAAGTGCTGCATCAAATTTGTTCAAACAGAATGTAAATCAAATGCAGATGTAATTTATTCTGTAGTCAATGTAATTAAGTATGAGTTTACATAAAACACTTATGTAAATGTAAACGAATGTCAAGAGTTTTAAAAAAAAGCTTTCTAACCGTTCTTGACTGGGGCATACTGTTCTAGGAAAAACCTTTAATTGTTACAGAACCTTTATATTATGGAGGTTCTTTAACCGCTTAAAATCTCAGGCTTATTACATTACTAAGGCTTATTATTCAGTAACTACAGGGACTTAGATGCAAACTGGCTGAGCTATTTTACACATTCGCACATCTCATTTACAGAAATGGATTGTCTTTTGAAAGGTTCTTTAGGGAACTGAAGGTAGTTCTTCTGTGGCATCAGTAGAAGTCCTTCTGGCACATTTATTTAATTCCAAGTAGCAAGTTGCAACTATTAGTGCTAGACTCTTAATTTGGGCATAAATGTCAAAACTAGGGCAAATTCAATTGGTAAAACAGCTTTAAAATAATGTACATTTCTGCTAGTGCCCCTTTTGGGATTTTAGTACAACATTAGCATTAAGCTGACGGCAATTCAAATGAACATTTTCTATCCGTTCTGGATTAAACACAGCCATTTGAAGTTTATAAAATACATTCAACATTCTATTAAAAGCTTTTAACAGACATATTAGCTTATTTTACCCAGCAGTTTTGCAGTGACTCTTTCAGTAAAGAACCCTGACAAAGTTGCTGCCTTTTTCTATTTCTAACTACTGACTGAAACCTGGTTAGGCTAAAGCTCCTATAAACAGTCACTGGTGTATCTAGAACTTCCAGAAGGCCTAGAGTCACATTTTGTCTCAAGGAAATTGGTCCTACTCACTGAAATCAAAACCTGGTTGGTTGTTCCTGTAGTCAGTTTCTAATTTTGTTAGTGACAAATTTAACATGTTAGGCCTTCTGTTCAGCTTCTGAAGGCCTAGCCATTGCAAGAGCTCACTTGGCTGTTTCTACTTAGATAAAACAGAGAAAAAAATTCTGACTGGACAATTTCACACTGGGCACTTTGAGACTTAAACCCTTTTGTTTACAGTCAAAGCTTAGTGAAATAAGAGTAGTACTACACTATTTTCCAAGTTTATATTACATTACAATAAACTTAAATTACACGCATGAATTAATTTATTTAACAGGAATTAGGACTTGAGGGTATCCCAGCCCACTATTAAACCTGCAATACGTCCTTGACGCATCCTGTGCTCCTACACTACAAATGATCATACACTGAAGAAGAAAGTTGTTTAATTTACATGATACCAATGTGTGCATCACTTCCACACAAATGGAATATGCTACATCAACTTGGGTAAGTTTATTAAGTATATACACATAGTAATTATGTTGATGTAGCATATTTTATACATATACAGCCAATGTACACATTTGAAGCAAGTACATTTAAAGCAACCTTTAAGCAGCCTTATTTTCAGTGTATCAGATGCTGCTGTTTGGACTCCAATACTGCAGACGGGCTATTTTTATGGCATTGCTCTAAAGAACCTTTTCTGGTGCCTTCAAACCAGAAAGGTAGACTTCAAAGGCGTAATAAACCAATGAAGTCCTCTGTAGCTCTGTCAGGTGTGATCACCACAGTCCTTCTGAGTGAATTCCAGGTGCTGTCTGACTGTCACAGAGCTGAAACTGTTATGAAACAGATCTGTAAGTGACCTACTGTCTTCCCTTATTTACTCCAGACTGATCTGTTTACAGTAACCAGAAGAATGGTAGGAGGAGCCAGAAGGACTAAGACAGACAGCTACAGATCCTAAGAGCCAGATTTGTGACTAGAGTGAAACTCAAGCTCTCATGGGAAAGGTTGTGGGTGATACAGAGGCTGATACTGAGGGATTATTCTGTACTTTCTGAGCACTAACACCTTGTTAAGAGTGCCATAGCTGCAGCACTTTAACATTCTTCAGCTTGACCTGACTCATTCGGCTGGGCAAAAGCTCTGACTGACTGAGTGTTTTCTCTCCTACTACTTTGGACTAGTGAAAGTAGGACACAGCAGGGGACACTTGGGGACTTGTTTGGTCCCACTGTGAAAAGGGCAAAGTTTTAAATTCCCCTGCTAAGCGGTAACTCTATAAGACTGGACGTTGCTCTATAAGTTCAATCTGGCTACAAGATCAGAGTTTAAAAGCTACCCCCCTCCCTGGCCCTGGAGAGGTCTGACCTGCTTGTGAAGGCTCTCCAGTTCCACCTCCAGAGTCTGCAGGAAGCGCTGCCTCTCGCTCAGCTCGCTCTGAGCCCCCCGCAAAGCTTCGTTGCTCTCCCGCACCTCCGTCTGCACCCCCTCCAGCTACAACAGGAACACAGGGGCACAAGCAGCACGTTTGACTTTTTTTGACAGTTTTCTTATTTTATTTAATAGTAACCTTTACAATATAGATTGGAATATTGTACACAAGTCACCAAAAGGTATTATACATGATTTATTCCATTTTAGGACATACAATCTACAATAACATACCCTAATTATCTACTACAATTATTTTCTGTAAGTAAACTAATCTGCCTGAGATTTTAATACAAATACAATGTATTCTGGGTATTAATTTCACTACAACTGCATTCTTAATTATGGAATCATCATACAGCTCTGTAAATCATTCAAATTAACCTGATTGGTTGTTCCTGTAGTCACTTTCTAATTATGTTAGGGACAAATTTAACCCATTAGGCCTTCTGTTCAGCTTCTGAAGGCCTAGACAATGGGAGAGCTCACTTGGCTGTTTCTTCCTAGACAATTTCCCGTTGGAAGAAATTTCATTTCAACAATTAAACCCTTCTGTTTCCAGTCAAAACTTAATAACATAAGATTAGTACTACACTATTTGCAAAGTTTATATTAAATTAAAATAAAGTAAAGTTACTGGCACTGGCATACTGGCATCTCAGAGGAATGGCACCGTAACACTTCACCCAATTCTATGACTTCTATGACACAGGGACCCCCAGACGGTGAACATTTTTGCTCAATTCCAGCTCCCAACACATACAAACCAAGCAATCAAGACATGAATACCTGGCTCAAGAAAGCTGGGAGCTCAGATAGGGCAAAAATGTGAAGCATCTGTGATCATGCATGCACTGGATTTGGATACAACATTCTACAAGGTGCTCTGCAGCATTAGAATAAATAGATGAGCTCAAGGAGGTGGAGTACGACTGACCTTCTTGCGGTACCAGTTTTCGGCCTCCTCTTTGTTCTTCTGGACAATTCCTTCATACTGAGAACGGAGCTCGGCTAGCACTGTGCCCAGGTCAGTTCCACGAGCAGCGTCCACCTCCACATTCACATCCTCCTGGGCAATCCGAGCCCGCAGGTTATCCATCTCCTGCAGAAAGTTAGGGAGAGAGAGAGAGAGAGAGAGAGAGAGAGAGAGAAAGAAAGAGAGAGAGAGAGGTAGAGAGAGAAAACAATCATAACAGTCCTCACAGCAAAATATGTAATAACATATATATATGCTTGAAAGTTTGTGAACCCTTTAGAATTTCCTATATTTCTGCAACTAATTTGACCTAAAACTTCAGAACATCACTTCAGATCACATCAAATTTTCACACTGTTCAAGTCCTAATAATAGATATAGACACGAAATTTTTTAAAAATCAGACAAAAATATTAGACCTGGTCATTTTTTTTATTGAGGAAAATGATTCAGTATTACATATTTGTGAGTGGCAAAAGTATGTGAACATTTAGGATTAACAGATAATGTATTTTATTATTATTTTTATAGTATATATGATTGTTGCAATGCTTTGACCTTGCACATGTTTATACAGAGTGATTTGTCATGTCAATAAAGCAACTCTTTCATTTTAAATCTTGAAAATCTTGTTCTGAGACCTCCTTTTGACTGATTGTGCCATAACAGTTGCACAGGCCACATTTTACGTTTTTTGTTTTTTTTTAAATTCAGCATGTAAATAGTAATCGTGCATTAAAATGTGCTCTTTGTAGAGGATGTGTAACTTATTTTTACTTAGAACATCAACAAAATATTTGATATATGGGGTGCTCAAACTTTTCCATATGACTGTACTGCTGGCTTTTAGCTGTAAAACATTCTCTTTCTAAGTTTTGGCAATGTGTTTCTTAATATAGTCATACCAGAAAAGCTATCTTCAGTTAAATTAAACTGAACTGATCTGACGAAGACAATAAATAACAGAAAGAGAAATAAGAGTGGATAAGCTGTATGTGTGTTTTCCATCATATCTCAGTATTTGAGTATGCTAAGCATGTGTAAATTCAGTGTTTACTCAGGAAGGTGTGGTATGTGTATGTGCGTATGTGTATATGGTCTAGAGGTAAGAACTTGAAACCACACAGAGGTTTAGGGTGGACGGAAGCCCCTTCATTATTTATCCACTCTGAATATTTGATAAGTGTCTTGCATTACCAACTGTTGTATCTAGAAACAAAATGTGAATATGCACATGAACATGACTTGGTGTGTGTTAAACTTCTAGTATGGAACCCTTGATTCACGGACATAAATACTGAGTTTAAGAAGCTCAACAAGCTTCTTACATGCCTTGAGACAGGTCTAAACATTTAACATGAGTCAGTAACATTTGATAGATGATAATCATGTGATCAGTCAAAGTGTATATCCATGCAGAGGCAAGCTGTGAAGTCAATCATGTCTCACTTGGTGGTATAATTACAAAGTTAAAATATCTTCTAAAGACCAAATGTAACTAGGAACAAGCTAATTCTGAGGTAGATGCAGGAAAGAGCTGCATCTTCAGTTACTACATGGATTGGATTACAAAGTGCTTGTCTATCACATACAAAGGCGACCATTTTTGGAGATCATTCAGGCACGTTATTGGCCAATGCTAAACTTAAAGATCTGAAGCTTGCATATCAAACAATCATTCATTTCAGTCTTTCCTCAAAGGAATGCTAGTTTGACTAACAACAAAGAAAGCTACTTCCTACTAATTAGCATGACCTTAATTACATGATGTTAACTAACAGGTGGTTACAATTTCCCATCATTATTAGCAACAATAGTATTTTATTTCAAACCATTCTTTGAAATATGGCCTCCTCTAGTCTAAAATACACTGAGTTTGCTTACTCTAATCTAAGAGTATGCTGGTTACATGACCATTTGAATAATCAGATAACTGCAGAAATCCAATTGGATTATTGAGTGCATGTAAACGGACTCAGTGCAAACTGTGCAAGGAAAAGGTTGAGCTGCAGTCTCTAACTGTCCACCTACAAGGTGTATCAACAAGGTAAATGTGTTCAATAAAGTGCTCAGAAAGTAGGAACTGATATAGACCTGTATCTATCATGTCATGGCCAGATGGGGCGAACATACCTCCTCATGGTTCTTCTTGAGGAAGTAAAGCTCCTCCTTCAGGCTGTCTAGGTCTCCACGCAATGTGGCGATGATCTGGTCATGGTCTGTCTTGGCCTTCTTCAGAGCCACACAGTCTCTCTCCACTGACTGACACATGGCACTTTCTGCTTCCCATCTGAAACATACACAAACTTCTACCAGGCCTTTCTCCTCTTGGATTAAGTGTATGTGATCTGAGGAACACTGTATAAATCAAACGTGCCAAACCCTGGATTCACCTCTAATCTAATAGACTTCATTCCAGTGTTTAGCTGTTCTAGAAGACCTTGCTTAGCTGGATCAGGTGTGTTTGATTAGAGTTGGAACTAAACTCTGCAGAACAGTAGATCTTCTAAAGCAAGTTTGGACACTCTCAAAGATTAAGTTGCCAACAAAAAATTATTGGGGCCAGTGCAATAGAAAAATTACTTTTACTTCCCTAGTGAACCTTTGAATGGATGCTTCTTTAAAGAACCATTTTTGTAAATGAAATGTACTAGTGAAAATAATCATAATTAAAGTTTAATGAACCTCCATAGGATGTTAGCAGGGAATTCTCAGGGCCTTCTAGGCCTTCAGAAAAGGCCTAATGTGTGTAATATATGTCTGTGCTTTTTGATTTCATAGAATAATCATGCTCTATGCAATATTGAGCTCTGCAAATAAAGAAAGAAAAACTTGCTCTAAGCCTTTTGGAAGTTCTAGATATATCACTGACTGTGAATATGATTGGGTAGCCCAACCAACGGGTTTTTTTCTCAACTGTGTAAACTGGAAATGGCACAAACTGTTCTATACTAGAGTTTTTTTTTTTTTACTAAACAAGTCACTGTAAAACTACAAATTATATCTTCTTTATCTCTGTTTAGGTCTAATAGTCATGTTTTGGCACTGCATCATCTAAAGCTTCTATACCAATTTATGTTAAGGGTGTAGTCTATCTTAGTTTTAGCTCTGGAAGACTTCCACTTACTTGATTCTGAAGTCATCTGCAGCCAGCTTGGCATTATCGATCTCCAACATAATACGAGCATTCTCCAAGGTCTTCTTCCTGACCTGGGGGGACATTAGCAAATACATCATCATTTAAAACATCACCGCACACATAGATAGCAATCACGTCACAGTTTCATGCCATTTATTTTAAAATCACACTTTCACTACTGCAATCATGGCTGCGCTCCACCTCTAATCTGATGAGCCATCACATTCTTCCTATGTTAAAGAGTAACTGTACAGTCTTGAGTAGTCCATTGAGGGGCTGACAATTATTAACGGTGCACTGAGGCTGCCTAACTTGTCTAACAGAGATTCACAGTGCACTCTTGTATGCTAAACTCTACATTTCCTGAGAATTCATGCAGGCACAGTCCAGATTTCCAAAGTAACATGAGTCACATTAGTACAGAAGTTTAATGAACTTTGATGGAATGTTTACATAAGACGTGACTGTTGAATATAAACACACAGTATCTGCAATAGGCTGTTTTTTCCAACGGCTGTACCCTCTTAAAAAACATGGTACTTCAAGGATAAAGTCGGTGGTTCTATATACCACAAACCAGGATCCATTTACATGCTTAAATGGTTCTTTGCATGCTGAAATTGTTCTTGAGTTTGATGGGGAATGTGTTGTAAATGGTTCTATATAGAAACTTTTTGAAAAAGGTTCGATGTAGCACCAATAAAAGGTGGATTGATGAGGAATGAGTTGTACATGGTTCTATATAGAACCTTTTTTTTTAAAAAAAAATCACAATTTTTAACACATTTTCATTTTAGTGCTTGCAATTTGCAAAGAAACTCAGCGGAAAGACAGCTAATGATCAGTCTTCCATGATGCTAATGTTATCTTGATTACAGAAAATAACCTCATGTTTATCCTAACAGTTTGACCTGTCAGATGCATGCAAAATAAAGGACATTTGAAATGAATTACACCCTCTAAGCAAAGGTATATTGACATATTTCTCATTAGACTCAAAGTAATTTTATCACTGTTCTACAAAGCTTGTGGGTGGATGATCAGCGTCTGCTCATTGGTTGATATGAAACTGGACTTAGTGAACAGAGATGGACATGAGCACAGGCCTGGTTCTGTCTGCGTTAGTACCTCCTGCTCTAGAGCATGGGCCTGTGCCAGCATGGCGTCTATGTCATGACCTTTGGGGACCCTCTCTAGCATCAGCTGTTTGATGCGGAGCTCCAGGTCAGCGTTGGACTTCTCTAGCGAGCGCACTTTGTCCAGGTAGTTGGCCAGTCGGTTGTTGAGGCTCTGCATGGCTTCCTTCTCATTGGTGCTGTTGCCAAGGCCGTTGAGTGACAGGTTAGTCAGACCATTCAGGTCGGTCATGCTCATGGAGGCTGAGCGAGAGAGGGGCTTGGCCGCAGCGAATGAGACTGCTGCTTTGGCCCGGCCACGCACACTGTCCCTCAGAGACAGGTTGGAGAAAGAGGGCTGCCGGCCAATGGAATAACTCCGCATGGACATACTGGACGTCATGATGTCTGTGGACATGGAAACATAGAAGATGTGGTTCATGACACTGCATGGAAAAATGACGGCCTTCCTTCTGCACATTTTAATGCACGATTACTGTTTATTTGCTGAATTTAACATGTTTTTCTTTTCTTCCAAAAATTTTAACTCAACAAATAAATAGTGCACTAAAATGTGCATAAAACTAAATGACAAAATAACAAAATTACAAAAAAAGCTAAAACTCCAAAATGAGAGGTGTGAAAACAAAAAGTCTAAGAAAATAACGAAATTAACCCCCAAAAATAGAATTAGAGAGTAAAGAAAAAAGTATTTAGAGGTGAATAAATGTAACTTGTCACCACCCAATTCTGAATGTGCTTGTTATCTTTCTAGATCTGGTCTGGTCTTGAAATAGTTCACTAAAAAAATCAAATGTGCTCAATTTTCCAATATTGTTTCTTTAGTTTTAAAATGGAGCTTTCTACAAAAACATCCCCTCACCCCTTTTTTCTCAAACCACATCCAGGTCTTGTCACGCAGACTTGTCGATGTGGTTTAGGACACCTTATAACTTACTGTGAGCTACAAAAATGAGCTACTCAGTTGAAGCAGCATTATTGGAGAATTGGTATTGTTTGCTCTTGGGCTCCCCCTACAGTGGTGGAGTGTATACAACTCACGCTTTGAGCCCCCACGCCAACAGCTGTACACATGTGTTTGTTGACGAGCTGAAGGATAAAGAATGTAGCTCCCTTCATGTGCACATGCATCACACAGGTATATAGACTCATATAGACACAGATTACGCTTGCAATTTCAGTTGTTCTATTTAAAACAATTAAAATCGCGAGTATAATCTGTAGCATCCACATGCCTGCATGATGCGTGTGCACGCAAAGGGAAGTCGGATTCTGCCGAGGAATCGGAATTCCACACAACACCGGCAAAGACAATATCAGAAGAGAAAGAACCATGTTGACTTACAAGCTAGAGTAACAATAGAGGATTTTATTACAAGAGGTTACAAATTTTCAAGGCTTATTTGGTGTGACATTGACAAAGACTGACCAAACTTTTTGGCGTGAGATGAATTTATTTCTTTGGATGCTAACTTAGCCTGATGTTTGATGACTTTTGGAAACCAGAAAAACTACAAAATTCAATGAGACAGGAATGACACAGATAAGGTTACAGCCTACGTCGCAATCTTTCATAAATAACGTTGGCAGGAATGAACTGTGCGATTTTCGCTGTTTTCTTGTTAGTCGTGATACTGTTCTGCATCCTTTCATCTCTTTTAGCTCTTGCCAATGAATCTGAGATTTACTCTTGTCTGGTCTCTTGCTGGGTCTCTCTCTCTTCTTCTCTTTCTAACTATCTTCTTCTCATAGCTAGCTGTCTTAAAATAAGCTAAATTATCTGGCAATATGGTGAGATAATTTTACTTAATAAAATGACTTAAAACAAGTAGGAAATGTCTAGAAATAAGGTAAATAATCTTAAATTAAGCTCACAACAATCTCAACGGGAGAAATATTAGATTTTTTGACTATTTTTTAAAATAAGTTTACTCAACAAGACACCATTATTTGCAGTGTACTGTGTCCTAAACCACATAAAGACCTTGATGCAGTTTTGCAGATGTATTTATGGAATGGATTTGGGTGACTATTGACTTCTAGTGTTTGTTATTTGTTATGTATGTTATTTTCTTAGATACGGCATAAATTATGGACACTAAATGTCCATGGCTGAACAGTTATGTCTGTGGTACGTGGGAAATTGTGTATGATTTTTCAGCAAACAATTCCTTTAAATATTGTAAGAATGTCTCTCTTCTAGAAAATTAGTTAGTAAAACGTCTTTTATAAAAATGTTTTTATAAAATGAGAACCTCACAGCTCATCTGTGAGAATTTTACAGCCTGTACTAACTGTCTGCTCAGAAAAAGTGGAGAATTCTTGACTATGTTCTGCTTTACAGAGATAAATGCGCCAGTCATTTCACACCTCACTGACCCATTCATCTTATGTCAGTCTGAAAACCATCACTCTGTAAAGCGTGGTGGTTTTAGCACTCCAGCTAGAGGTTAAGAATGATCTAGTTAACTTCTACTGAGTAACAGGTCCTTGTTTTTCCATCATAAAACAATAAAGCTCTCAGATCAGCATTCAAATTTCATTTTCATAGACCAGTGTGATGATGCTTACCTGCTTTTCATGAACCATGAAACAAAGCTCACAAAAGAAACTCAAAAAACCTCTGAAACCATCACCCAACAGAGAAACATTTGTCTTTTAAAAGGGTCAGTTCATCAGAGAGATACCCGTCTGAGGGTGAAGGAGACAGCAGGTATTGTTCGTGTTGGCATATCAAACAATCAAGCTCAGTCACACTCCACTAACACCGGATTAGTTGTCAAGGAAACAATGGCTTTCTTGTCGTTAAGCCCCGTTTGAGTTACTTTAAACAAGAAAATACAATTAGCTTAACGACTGGTGAAATCCTTTTAACTTCAGCTGTCTCACTTTAAAGTAAATCAAGTTCAACACATTTTCCAGCATCCATTTTGTCACTTCTGAGAACAAGTGCGCAGTTTCACTTTTATCACATTAAACAAACTCACAGACTGAAATAAAGAACGGCTGCAGGAGACAAAGTCATCAGGCCGCCCTCATAACAGTGAGCTGTAACAAGAGTTACTGGCATTGGAGCAGAGCTGTGAGCTGAGAGCTTTGAGCTGAGAGCTGTGAGCTGAGAGCTGTGAGCTGTGTTCCAGTGGACTGAGCTCTTACCTGTAGCGCTTGCTGTTGGAGGGATGAGTGGAGGAGTGAGAGGAGGAGAGAACAGCACTCTGCTGGGGAGCAGAACACACCTTTATATACGTAGCAGGAGAGGAGGAGGGACGGAGCACCTGAATACCTGAGGGAGGAGTGCAGTATCTCTCTCTCTCTCTCTCTCACTCTCTCTCTCACTTTATTTTTTCTTTCTCTCTTCTCTCTTTATTTCCTTTTTTCTCTTCTTATTACTTTCTTCTTCTTTCCTTTGTTCCTTTCCATCATTCTTTCTCTCTCTCATTCTGCTTGGTTTTAGCTTCTCTTTCCTTCATTCTTCATTTTTTCAATATCAATATTATAATTTTATTTCATTTATTTATTTTTCATTTATTTTAAGTATTTATTTTATTATTATTATTGCTACAACTTCTTTCTTTTCTCTTCTTTATCTCCCTTCTTTCCTTTTGTCCTTTTCTTTCTTGCTTTCTTTCTTTCTGTCATTCCACGTGTTTCCTTCTTCTTCACACCTTTATTCTCTCTCTGCCTCTCTCTCTCTCTGTCTCTCATTTTATTTTTTTCTTCTTTTTGTTCTTTTCTTCTTTCTTTGTCTTTTTCTTTTAGTTACTCTTTCTTTCTTTCCTTTTTCTATGTTTGTTACTTTCTCTCTTCTACTTCTTTCTTTTATTTATTTTTTCACTACCAATATTAACTTTTTTATTTCATCTCTTGTATTTTTGCTATACCTTCTTTCTTTCTCCATTCTTCATATTCTTTCTTTCTTTCTTTCTTTCTTTCTTTCACTGTTTCTCTTTCTTTTCTTCATTCTGTCACTCATTCTATTTGTTTCTTTCTTCTTCACCCCATTTATTCTCTCTCTCTCCTCCTCTATCTCTGCCACTCTGACACTGGAGTCGTTCTTCTCTCTGATGGTAAACTGAGACACTGAAACTTCACCAATTAAATATTCAACAGTGCCTGAACCAGAGTGGACAAAGGGGAAGAGGATGATCCAATAATAGCCATCTCGATTAGCCTGAACAACAAGAGCTGTGGACAAACATAAGGAGCTGAAACAGAGTTTAGAGAAACATCCTTATCTTCTACAAAGCCACACGGTTCCCATCCTAGTTCCTGAGGATTCTGCTCCAATACTTCAGCCCCCCTGTTCCACAAGCAGCACTCAGGAAGTGAATAAGGTGAACATGAAGAGTTCTAGATCTAATCTGACATGCTTCATCGTGATAAGAAGCTGAGGAGAAATAAATGCAGATTTCTCAGTTGTAGATATACAGAATGATAATGTTGCGCTGCAGATGAGTCTGGATAAGACTGAAGTAAACACAAATGACAGGACAGAAAAGTGACAAGGTTACAAGATAAAAAAAAAGTGTTTGTGGTTAATCAGCTCAATCTCATACTGAAAATGTGGGAGAAAATCTAACCTTTGGTTCAGGTAAAACTTGAAAGCAAAAACCCAAATTTTTTAACCTGTTAAATCTTGCGTTGCAATTATTGGCATCCTGCATTTAATACTTTGTGCAACTAGTTTCAAATGGCTATAGCACTGTTATTTCAAGAACCTTTGCAATTTTGTAAATTGCATTGTTTTGTCCAATTACCACTGTTGGTATCATGCTAATTTTCACTATTCCTATGTTATGTAATTGCTAAGCTACAAAGAGTGTTACCATCAATAACATCACAGCTGTTACATCTGATCACAAGGTTTCCACAGCAGATCTTCACATAGAGCTAAAAGAATATAATGGTACACTGAGAAAAAAAGGAAAAGGAAGATAAAATAATACTATAATGACAAAACGTTATGACATTCAAGGGATTTACAAGAACACATATTATGTACTTACAATCATTTATCATTTGTCACTCATGTATTTATTATGTCTCATTTTATTTTTTGGATGAATGCCTTTCCTACCTGTAAGGGTCTCCCTACTTGCACATTTCTACATTTCTAGGGTGTTTTGTGCAGGCAGAACATACAGACAGTATCAGGCTGATACCGTCTGACCACTACACAGTCCAGAGAGCGAGGGGCCGTGTGAAACAGACAGTGGCTGTTTGAGTTGAAGTTTCTAAAGCAGAATGAAGTGTCTGTGGTATACAAAGCCCCTGTTCTCTGAGTGAGCATGTGCTGATGCCAGACTGGGTTACAGCTCAGGACAATTACCTCCACACCCTGCTGAGCCTGCTGCATAGGGTGAGTCTGTAGGAAACCTCACATCTACCGTATGTCCTCCTATGTGTGTGTGTGTGTGTGTGTGTGTGTCTGTGTGTGGATAAGGTTTATGCCACATTGTATCTATCTATCTATCTATCTATCTATCTATCTATCTATCTATCTATCTATCTATCTATCCAGCTATATCTAGTATTACAAAAACCTCTTTTGTCCTTTCTTTTTAGGTGCAAGTTTGTTCTATTTGCATCACATTTTCCACATACATTTCACACAGCAGTGAAAAGGCCATGCATCATACTGATACACCACACCGACGAGTGCAGAGCGTTTCATACTGTTTCTGCTTCACTACAGGACATCTGACCTCACCAGTGCAGTCTGGAGCTCAGTCACCAGGGCAGGAGTTCATGTCAGTGACATATGCATGTAAGTTAATATGTTATAACACATAACTATGTGACTGAAGACCTTTATACACACATAAATTACATATTAGGCCCATAAAACAGTCATATATTGATAATACCGTTCAAAACTTATTATTATATTTAGATGCTGAAGCACATCAGCATATTACAGTATAGCTCATATGAATTTCACATACGAGGAAAAGCTTTATAATATATGCACCAAATTTTTGTAATAACTGTATCTGTTGCTGCATATATTTATAAATATGCATATGGAGCACAGCATTTGTTTGGAATTCGATGAAGGCTGCTGCATTGACCAAAATGTCATGTTTTCAATAAGATCTTTGAACCTTTCTAACAAGTTTCCACTTCTATTTACCTACCAGTTCCTTTGTCTTATGCCAGGATCTTTTGCCATGCACTCTCCATGCCAGACAACTCACTTTATTTAGAAGTAACTTTAATTTAATCTGCACTATTGAATTAAGTTTCACATTATTCAATTGGACCCTCTGTATTATACTAATTCAGCACTGTGTGACTCAGAGTTCAGGGAAGAAGTGAAGGGAAAATAACACACAACCACACTAGCATTTGGAATCACAGTACTAAGAAGAAATGTTAAATGTGTCCAGAATACTTTGCAGAGCTAATGATGATTCCGTAATGACTGAGAAAGAGACATATATAGATATGTATATGATTATTATTATTACTATTATTATTATTATTGCAAGATATCATCACTGTTCCAACCCTGGAATATTTGGTCCGATCAGGAATGGTGTCCACTGCTTTTTAAACAGATGAATGGTTTTCATACAATGATTATTAAATTAAATGTAAATGTCCCCCTTAAAGGTACAACAGTGGTTTTAGGGTCCAATTGTGAACATTAAATAAGTTTTTTCCAGGTGAAAAGTACATATTTGTACTTTTTCGTAATCTAATGTTTTAAAACAGCACAATAAAATAAAGAGCCTGGAGACAAGATGGGGTGTGTGGAGTCTATACGACTTATAATTTTAGTGGATTACAGTACAATTATGTTCCCTGACTAAAGGTACTCTTATGTATCTATGAGGGTACCACCCCAGTGACAAGAGGGGTACTGTCCCAGTGACAGTTTAGTACCTTTATTTCTGAGAGTGTATGAAGTAATAGTGAAACACTTGAGGCACTGAGAATGTTTTGATGCAAGCTGTGATCTCTGATGCTGCAGATAGTGTGGCAGTGGGCCTTCAAAAACAGCATGCCTGTGCTCTGTGTATGTGTGAACATGAACCTCATATGGTGAGATATGCACCTCATTTGACCCACATACTCTACATCTTATTTGCATATGGACAAAGCACATGTTCACCTGCGCTCATTTACATGTCCAAACAGGAACTTGTGGGTGGTGATTCAGTGGCTTCATTAAAGTTAAGCCAGGAATAGAAGAAAGAGCTCAGCTGTTACGGAAACAACAGAGAATATCCGAGAATGTAGTACATCAATGTAAAATTCAGTGTGAGTGAAAAACAATAACACATTTTCCTTCAGTACCATAACATGTTTCTGAGCTAAAACAGCATTATGGAAGGTCTGTGAGCTAGATGAGCATTTTCTCTCAATTACAGGTGTGTATGGGGGTGGGTGGGGAGTGGAGGGGGGTAGAAGCAGATGGTAACACATAATATAATTCGTTGATATTATTTTGGATCATTCACTCACATCCTCAGAAGACACGTCCTTCACCAAGTTTTGTGTTCTCTTTGAATTCTCTTTCAATACTCTTTGTTCCACATGTTATGTGCAATTACAAATTTCCACCAGAGAGGTCTCCAAATCCCTTATACTTTCATAGCTTTAAGAGTAACTCGTCAGTTTGCAGTGTTTTCTGTGTAATTACTAAATAAAAAGCCTCAGAATGTTATAAGCCTGGGAATGTAAGAGAGTTCAAAAGGGGAGAAAAACAGCCAACTGCTGTTTATTTATTTATTTATTTTTTAACACTTTCATTGCATTGTCACACCGGTCGCTCTGGAATGCAACTTTTGAAACGATCAGTTAGAAAAAAAATTTCAATGACTGTCATCAATGATCGATTTGTGATGTCAGCATAAAAAAATCTGCCTCCTCCATCCAAAGTGTGAACAGCTTATATTAGTGACAGACAACCAAAGACATGAATGAGTGAATGAATGGATGAATAAATGAATAAATGATGAGCACAGCTAACTAAAATTAAAAACAGCAGAATAGTGTTTTATTAATGCTCTGTGTTGGACAGACAGGTAAAACAGCATGAACATTAAGCCACAACTTCAATTCTCAGGGCAAGATTGCCACCCAGTGGTCACACAGACTAATGCATTTGTACATTTATTGTCAGCAAAAGAAAAGGAAGTTTCCAAAATGCAAAAGACAGAAAAAAATATTTGCCTTTTGGCCTTCAGTATACATTGTAAACA